GTTGATGCCGCCAGCTTTAGATACATAAATATTAGCACAAAGGTTCGTTTAAACGACATTAGTGAATTAGCTACACAAAGCGATTTTAGGAAATTCATCCTCTTAGAGAGTAAAATTATCTCGGAACAGTTTGTTGTATGAAAATTCCTTACTATTTCGTCTAGAAGAATGAAATCCTACAAAAAGAATTAGAAGAAATTTTTGAAATTCATCAACCAAATGGGTAAAGTTAGTAAAAATTTATATAAAACTTGGTGACGTCTGGATTATACACATAAAAATTGGCACAAAGGTAAAGCGAATTTATGAAATTTATACCCTTAGGGAGTAAAATAGGGAATGAAAGTTTGCTGTACGAAAATGCAATACTATAACATTATAAACCAGACAGTATAAAATTTTATACAAGGGTTTATTTAGTGACATCATAAGGAAATATATCTTCCTCAATTATCCTTCAAAGAATAAAAAATAACCTATAAAGAGAGTATTAGTGCTCTTAATAAATAAAAAAAAGATGAAAAATAAAAAACATCTATATGTTCACTAGCTCTCTATAAAGAAGTAAAAAATCATTTAAATCAATGCATAAACGATTCGAGGTGTAACGCGAACGTAGTTGCGAGAAAAAGCTAGTAATTTATTAAATTATTTTATTTAACTCATTAATTTTCATTGAAAAGGAATTTTTGTAATTCGCCACTATATTAGTTAAAAACTAAGAAACTCATATCAAATTTAAGTTTTGCGATTTTGACTTATACTTTTTATAAAATCTGAACACATTTTAAAAGAAAAAAAGTTTTTGACAATATTTGTGTAGATTGACTACAAGTTGTATAACATAAATTTCTACGACCGGTCTACCTAATGGTCTGCAGCATCGCCTTGTGGTGCAAACATGGGCCTGTTAATCTGTGACGTGACGCACAACAGCCAAGAAAAACAGAAGCGTGGCTAAGAATTTAGTAATTTAAAAAAAAAAGTCTTTTAGATACAGTAGTAGGTATTAAAAAGTTTTGTGTTTAAATGGGGTTTGCCTTTAACAGTTAAAAAATTATATGGTAAAGTGTAATTTTCTGTAAGAATTCTTTTTTTTGCTTGCTTGTTTTACGGATAGGTGCGATCGCATAATTATTATTGATAATGTTTTATTTAATTTTAACATTACTACTTTTTCAGTGAATCTTTAAATCTGTTGTTTTTTGTTAAGTTCGTTATTTAAACATATGTATGTAATACACTCATATTAACACTAATCATATTTTTACGTTTTTATTCATCATTTTCAATGCCCCCCCGGTTGCATCTTTGTAAAGGACTGTGAATTTTTTATTTTAATTTTTTACTTTTTTTCGGAAAATTTAAAAAGTTATGACGTTTAAAACATACATTCATATGAAGTTTTTGTTCTTAAAATGGGTCTAAGAATCACCTCCTAAATACTAGCATATATTAGTGACTTATTTAAACAAACACCCTGTATAAAAGTACGATTATTTTATTTTACTTATATAATCTACATCACTTTCCGACCATCATTCAAAAAATATACGTTTCAACTTTCCAAAACATGTATTTTTTGAACATGTATTTATTACCACCTAATTCTGCAATAATGACCTCTGTGCGGCGCCAAATATGTCGATGGTTGGCAACAATGAATTTGATAATCGCGGCCTCGATGACGTAACTTATAGTGTATTTGGTATCGCTTATATCTTGTTCATTTACTCCACATTATAAAATTTTATTTTTCTATTCTATTTGATAATCTGAGTAAATAATACACCCCTATCCAGCATAATTTATAGCCTTTATTTTTCGCTGGCCCACTTTTTTCATAGCCCCAGAGTATAAAAGGGGGCAGCAACGCCACCATCGTCGATATCTGTTCTTTTGTTTATCTTAGCTGCGCCGGCTTTGATCTTTATTGTGTGCACTTTTCTTGTGCCGTTTGTTATGGCATTGCCGCTCCGCTTCGCGGGGGGTTCGAGATATTGTGTTTCGTCCGAAGAAGAGATTTCGCAAAAATAGAAAATGATTTGCAAAAGAGATCGGATTGTTTTGAGTGCCGGATCGCAATGTGAAGAGATTCGGAAATCTAGACTGAAAAAACCAATGTTTTGATTTGAATAAAGCGAGAGTTTGAATTCCAGTAAATAAATATCGCTTTGAAAGTAGCGCAACAAATGTTTATTTGAAATTATTAAAAATGGTTATGTTGAATCTTTCAAAAAAATATTAAGGAAGGACACCTTCCTTAATATGATGATATGACAACGTTAACCTTACCTAAACATTCAATCCCAACTTTCACGATAACAATTGCATCAGATGATGATGAATGCTTTACGACTGAAGAAAGCATAAGTTTAATGAAAGAAATGGAGGAGGCATTGTCTGGAGCATTAGTGTGGGAGTGAAGAAGAACTTTAATATTTTAAAGTTTACCTTTTATTTCCAAAGAAAACACTTTTTTGGAGATCTCTTTATTCCATGTTTTCTTTGAAAACAAATGGGACTTAGTTTAGTTACTCAGTGTGATATAGCTGTGTTTTGTTTCATTTTTTTAAAAATGTTATTATTTTATTTTAAAAGTATACCTAAGCTATGCCTTTAAGTTCATTTAGGTATCAGAATTTATTATTTTTTGTTTTGTATTTAGTTATATATGGCTGTAAACGTAGAACCACTAAGACTGATTTTTGTTTAAGTTTGTTTGTATTTGTTAATATATCTTTATCTATACTTGCCTAGCGATTTTTTTTTGCATTTAAGGTAAATGACCATAAATGACCGTAAATGACAATGCCATGTCACAAAAAATAAATGACCGTCATTTTAATAAGAACCTCTAATGCACACAAAACAAATTATTGGTTAGTAGCAGTTCGTAGTAGTCAGAGTTAAAGATGTAGAGAATTGTCGTTTTTTAATAAAAATTAAAAAAACATTATAAAATTATACGTCTAGAATAGTGTACACACAATATTTTTTTGTTTAAAACCAAAGAAAATTGGTATTAAAATATTTAATTTTTAGTCAAATATTACAAACTGTTTCATAAAAAATGAGGAAGTACGAAAATTATTAGTAAAAGACCCTTAAATGCTACATTGTTTCGAAATTGTTGTCCAAAGCTACTACAAAATGTTTTCCGCTGATCCAAATTAAGGTATAACATCCGTACTTAGCGGTTAAACGCGTTGTTGCCGGTTGTCTGATATAATAACGGCGGGACAATGAGCGAATTTCACAGCTCATATCAGCCAATCAACAGCCAACAGTAAGGGAACTGTGCCAATAAAGGGTTCTATTCTACATATTCCACCGTTTACGCCCATTGAATATATATTCGGCTTAATTTCCTTAATAAGTTTTTGTTATTAACTCGGGCGTTTACGCTTAGGATCGTGCGATGTCGCCGTTAAAGTTAATGGGAGTATTTCGGAGTTTTCTCTTTCGTCCTCTGGGTTTTGTCATGTTTTTGACTCAGTCTTAACGAATGAAATTCTAGGGTAGATTACTTAGTCGTGAATTAAGTTAAGGATATATTCTAGTTAATATATTTCTGTATATTTCTAAGTTTCATTAAAAACTTTATGTTATTAGTTATTAAGCAAGCCTAATACATTGGTTTGTCAGCATCAGGATGATGCTCTCTTTCTTGGCGATTTCTACGATGTTCTCTATGGGATTTTCGGAAACTACTGAAGCTAGAGAGTCAAATACGGAAAGAATTTCAGTTTTGTGGGGACAAACATATACCCGTTTCGGATTTTTGAAAAAGTTTATGGCTTACTAGATATAAAAAAAGCAAATTTCGACTATTTTAAGAGAATGCTCCATAATTCCATTATCTATTTTGGACAAAAAGTTTTCAGATAAAAGTTATATATAATCACATTCCTAATGAGACTGTGTTCTCCGTTTTTTTAAAGCCTGTCATTTTTACAATTTAGTCGCAATAAAATATGTTTGTTTGGATGTGACAGTTTGTCATCTCTGAGAGCAACGACGATTGAACTTGTTTCCATGATTAACTAAGTGAATTAAAAAAAATATAAGAATTGACTATAACTCAGTAATTTTTATCAGGCTTATATCGCTGAAAAGTTTAAAATGGTGCTTTTTATGAAGTCATGTGCCATCTATGGTTTCCATTTAAAAAAAAACATATGTTTGTGGCATAGTCAAAAATGGCAGGCTTTAGAAAAAAACAGAGAAAGCAATCTCATTAAGGATGTGATTATCTAAAACATTTATCTTCTGAAAACTTTTTGTCTAAAATAGATTAATAAGAATAGAAATTTTAAGAAAAACCTGTATTTAAAAGAATTGTTTGCACTATGTGCGCATATTTGTAGTGAACCTTCTTACTAACAGCTATTAAATTGAAGGATTTGAAGGACATGTTTGAAAAAGTGACATATAATGCTGTTTTAATATAAATGTTATTTTCAATTTATTTCTGTAATCTGTACATTTTTTGTTTCCTCAATTAATAGCCTGCATATTATTTTGATATTATGCTTTAATGAAAATATAGAATAAACAAAATGTATTACATATTAGTTTTAAGAGTAACCAAACTTGTAACAAATAACAAATAGATTTCAAAACTAGAAAGTTATTATCTACTTCGAATAATAACAACCTTATATATTTCTATAAACTTGGCGTTATATATAAATTATTTTCGATATATTTTTAGGTACCCATACACCAGCGTTCTTTCCTGCAGGAATGTCTAATCCAGCTGGAAAGAACGCCAGTTAGTGGGTATATGCACGACACATGCACCTTCCGTCTTTCTTGTCAGGATGTACTGGCGTTCCAGCCCGACAAGATAAAACGTGTAAAAAATTTGTATTAGTGGTTTGGGGTCATTTCATTTGAGAGGTGATATCCGTGTGTTGTTTCCTGTTAGGAAAGTCCTGTTGTTAAAACGCCAGGTAGTTTGTTTAAGTCTTAAATATTTATTAGCTAGTTAGTGTTTTACGAATTAATTACGATGGATTTGATAGAAGAAGAAATCGACACCCAAATGCAGTCTTTTGTCGATATAGAAGATGAAAAAAGTGACTTGCGAATGGTCCCAAAAGGAATTTTAAAACAATTCATAGACACATACCGGGCTCACCCTGCCCTATGGCAGGTTAAAAATAAAGAGTTGTACACCAACAGAAATTTAAAGAATCGGGGATATTTGGAGTTGGTTAAAATGTGGAAGAAGTTCGACCCTGAAGCAAACCAGAAAATGGTTAAATCTAAAATTCAATCTTTGAGGGGGTCTTTTCGAAAAGAGTTAAAAAAGGTAATTAATGATATTTTAAATTGATTAGGCAGTGATTATTATATTATCTATATATTTTTTAGGTCGAAAAGTCAAAGCGATCTGGAACGGGTGTTGATGAAATATATAAAAGCACACTATGGTATTTTAAGTACATGATGTTTTTAACTGATCATGAATTGCCCTCGGAAAGTATTGACAATATTGATGACCCTTCTCCGTCAACCAGTATTATAAACAGTACTCAACAAATTTCTGAAACAGTGGAGGACATAAGCGATAGTGAATCTGTTAAGCACAGTGTTGAGGTAAACTTTATAATGATACCTATAAAGGAAAAATTAATCAATAATTATTATACTTTAAAATTTATTAGAGTACAAACTAAAAATATTATTTTAAATTAAAGTTAAATTTTAATTAATATTGTAAGCGGAATTATGCTTTGCCCTTCTCAATCATGTTTTCTTGCCAAGTCACACTACCATTTCCATTAAAAAAATCCAGGTATTCTTGTCGAGTTTGTTTTGCCTCCACCAAAACATTAGTTTGCTTCTTTTTTTCAAATCCATACAATTCAACGGCATTATTACGCCATTCCCCATCTATTTTTATATCATGTGTGATTTTGTTTTCACTGTCTACTGTTTTTCTGTTAAAATATGATTTACTTTTACGACATAAAAAATTATGCAAAACGCATATTGCTATTATAATATCTTTGGCGTTTTCAGGCTGTACAGTAATAGCAGTGTGCAATATTCTAAATCTTGCGGTAATTAATCCAAAACTATTTTCAACGACATTTCTAGCCCTCGATAAGCGATAGTTAAAAATTCTTTTTTTATATGTAAGTTCAGATTGACTAAACGGTCTGAGTATATGTTTTTGCAGAGCAAATGCCTCGTCCCCCAAAAATACATAATTCATTTGTTCTATGTTTTCTTCCTTGAGAGGTAAATGCAGTTGATTATTTCTGAGGTATTGGTAGAATTTGGTATACTCTAAAATAGCCCCATCAGAGTTTCTTCCGTTTTTGCCCACATCTACATATAAAAATTCATAATCGCTGTTTACTAAAGCCATTAAAACAATACTATAGAACTTTTTATAATTGTAGTAAAATGCGCCTGTTTTAGCTGGACATGTTATTCTTATGTGTTTTCCATCGATAGCTCCACCGCAGTTAGGGAACTGCCAACGAGAGTTAAATCTTTCTCCAATATCCATCCATTCTTGGACAGTCTTGGGAAACTAAAACAAAAAAAACCGCGGTATAATATTTAGTGCTTCGGAGGGTACCTATGTAAAAACGGCGGTATAGACTTTGACTTTTGGGCTTGTTATAGGGTACAAATAAATTTTAATATAGGAAACAATAATATATTAAAAAATTTCGAACCAATTTAAATCTCACAATTATACCTGTACCTACCTACACTGTAATGCCAAAAATTTTAATAATTCTATTATTAAAAAATAAATAATTTTTAGGCTGAAACAACGCAGGTCCGTTCCCCAGTCCCTAAGAAGAGAAGATACCAAAATATTGACCATAATAATATAAATCCACAAAAAAGACAAAAAATAAGTGAAGAACGCCAAAAAAAAATGTTTATGGCACAATGCACTGAAGCATTAACTACAAAAGTAACAGAGACTGATGCCTTAGCTCAATATCTATCCTTAAAAATACAAAATGTTTCGAACCCTGAACAGAAAATGTACGCAGAAGTCTTACTCACTAAAGTCATTAATAAGGCAATACTAAATAAGCTGACTGAAGCTACGGATTTAACAGAAATAAATATGAATCTCGTGCAAGAACCAAATTATTATACATATCATCCTCCTGCGGCATCGTCATCGTCATCTCGTTCAAACACAACACATTACACACTAACGCCTTTGAACTCTCCCGACCCCTTAACAGTACAGTACACACAAAGTACTTTACAAGCAAACAGTGCCCCACAAGGAGTCAATACCTCACAAGAACATAGTGCCCCTCAAGAACACAATGCCTTCCAAGAATCATACGATAATAATAATGGAGGCCCGGAAATAATGTTGTATGCCGATATTCAAAAACAAGTGTAATTTTTTTTTCAATAATCTTTATACTTTGTTAAGAGTTTTTTTTTGTAAATTTCTGTGTAATAAAACTTTGTACATATTTATTTGTTTGACTTACTTTTAAATAATCTTTCTGCAAAACCTGGTAAATTACTTTGCATGTCTCTGGAATTATGCGACCAAGAGCTTGTGGAGAAATTCCAGTACTAAACTTCAAGCATTCATAACTTCTTCCGGTGGCCAAATATCTCAAAGTTGCAACAAGGCGCTCTTCAGGTGAAATACTCTGCCTCATTACCGTATCTTCTTTTTGTATGTATGGACTAACTAATTTTAACAGTTCATCAAATGTGTTAGGATCCATTCTTAAATAATTTTGGAAATCGGTAGGCTCACTTGTCCGTAATTCTCGTAACAGATTCATATCGCTGTACATTTTCCGTTTCTGAAGCCACTTCTTTGACCACATGCGGCGCTTCTGCTTTTTCTTAAACAAAACTTCAGTTGCAATACCAAATGCAGCAATTGCAATTATTCTTTTAGGTTTCATCTTAATATTAATAGTTTAATAATAATAAAAATAAATATTAATATTATTATTCAAAGCACACCACTTGTTTACTTGTATTGCACAACAAAAATTTTATAAAAGTCAAATCTCTCGATCCTTAGTAAAATGATCGTCTAGCGGGAAAATTTTAATAATCGTGTCACATTTACAGTATAACAAACTAAATCCTTTAAAAACTGCAACGAAAGGTATTTTGTGTTAGTGGGCTTTGCAAGGAATATAACTCCTTCAAAAAAGAACAGGCCAGTCTTACAGTAAAAACTGACAGGAAATTCAACAAGATTGCGTTTGTGTTAGTGGGATTGGACATTAGTTCTTTCCTTTCAATTTTTTGACAAGAAAGAACGCATAAGGAAAGAATTACAGGAAAGAACGCTGGTGTATGGGTACCTATATCAAACTATCATCGAATCAATAAATAAAATATCTAAATGGTTCCCTCTTTCAAATTCTGTTCTACAAACACCATAAACTATAGAACAAAAATTGTAAATTCCACTATTTACAGGAAATTTATTAAAGCCGTGTAGTTTTCGATTTTTTTCATCAACACGTAATTTATATCTCGTGATAATCCAGTAAAGCACCGTAAAATATACCAAATGTTTATTTGAACTAGCCCGATATGATTCTTAGCAGTAGATAAATTATTCCGTATATTTTGATAGGAAAATAAATTGTTCGGGTTATGTTTCGTAGGTGTTACGCGGCGTGATGTATCTATTTTGAAAACTGGCTGCTTATTTTTGAAGCCATAGGTGAGATGATAAATGGTGGCGTATGATCTTAATAATGAATAAATACAATCAAGCGGGTGGTTAAATCACATGTCCTACTTTAGTTAATGAATTCATGTAATTTTTTCCATAGCAACTCTTAAAATTGCCTTATATCTATCAAAAATAGTAGATAAAATAGCACTTTAACCCGCAAGGGTAGATTAAATGATACTTTAACAGCGAGGATAGGTTAAAAACTTTATTTCTTCTCGCACGATTTTTAATTGCTTCCATTTTTGAAAATTTTTGTATTCCTTTTCATAAGTTATTCAGGATTTAAATGGAAGTAGTTTGGATATGGCGTTTGTCGCCTCAGCCTGAATATCTGTTGGGAATTTACTTATTTCGTTTTGAGCCATTTCTGGTTCCAATTCAATCAGCAATCGACACGAAAGAGAATTAAAAAATTTTGACTCAAAACTGACAACTAAAGAGACGTTTATTTATTTGTCAAATTACATAGAAACCAACGCCAACTCAGCACAATATTTTTTCTACTGGTAATAAATTCCTTGAAATAATAATTTCTGAATATTTTTTAAAACGTAATTCGCTATGGAAAAAAATATTGTTTTATACACGACGATAAAATACCATTTTATCGTCTTGTATAAAAAAATTACTATTTATTTACGTCAGTAAATATTATTGTAATTAATTTGTTGTTGAGTATAAAAGATTTTGTCATCCCAAGTAGCATTTTTGGACACATTTTAGGTAATGTTTCTAATAATTGTTTTTGTGTTTTGTGACACAAAATAGAAACGGTATGCCACAAATACGAAACATTTTCGAAATCTAAATATTTTATATGGGTTTATTACATATTTTTCCAATGTGGCGGCACTAGCCGTTTCCTGAAATGTTTCGATGCGGAATCAAAACTTTTAGAGGAAATGTTTCGAAACATTTTTGGCAATTTGTGTCCAATATGTTTCCGTTTTAAGCAGCCATTGTTTCTAAATGTGAGAAAACAAAATACCAAACTAAAATAGTCTCTGTCTCTGTGCGGATTTCAAAATGAAAACAACGTTAACAATGTCGACCTCCGCCATAATTTGTTTGTCTTAAGATCTTTTAGGTTTTCACGCACAAAAAATGTCTGGCAAAAGCAAATTCATCGTTTAATGATTCTATATATCATTATTTGTTGCTACAAAATATTTTTGTTTGAAATATAGATTTTTATTTTTATTTGTATATCATGATTCTGAAAGTAAAAATATATAAATCAATGTAAGTAGAACGCGTTCTTATGAGTTTAAAAGCTCAACAGCCGATAAAAACATATAGGTATCTTTAGTTAAAAACGCTATCACTAACCAACATGCGGAATTTGAATTTATTATTTTATAAAATTGACATGGAGTGGGACACAAAAAATCATTATATCACATTTGTGTCTAAAAAGAGAGAAACTCGTGTTTTGAAAATGAATCGACAATAAATGGAAACCTTGTTTCCAAAATGTTTCGATTTGGCTTTATCTGTGTAGAAATTTCGAACTAGTCACCTGTCAACAACGCCAATCAAAACTCGTGGTCAAAATAATTAAAACACACATTTTTATTTACTTATTATATTGACAGAATATCAAATAAATTATGGAAACTTTTCAGACACTAAACGGGTACGAAATCTGGTAATGGGACCCACATCTGTTTCTTAAAAGTTTCGAGAAATGTGTGACATTAAGATCTTCATTGTTATAGCTTATGTAGCGAAACCATATTTTGGTAAAATGTTTCGAAACAAAAAGCGATTTATGTTACAAAAACATATAAATGTATCGAAACTGTTTCGCAATGTTTCTTAGAAAAGATTTTGTGTCTAAAACTGTTACTGGGAATATATATTTGAATTAGTACAAAACCATACGATTGAAAATTACTAGTTCACTATCTCTCTAATCACTATTTCTATTAAATCTTAAAACAATTCCGATGTCAATCTCTCAAACGGATATTAAAAGGGTCACATGCTTTCTGTCCTTCCCTTTTTGCGAGTCAAGCTGCGCATCGCTTCCATAAATACTCATTTGCTTGGAAGTGCGTCTCCGCGGACAACCGTTCCATCGGGACCCGTCTCCCGAGCCCCAGCTGCTCCTCTCCGACTCCTCAATAATTCAACCGGTTGATTTCTGGACCCATCTGATGTCTCCTGCCGCTCGCGTACATCTTTTATGCCCGTACATCATCCCGAGTTTTTTCTGCTGGCAGCCGTTTGTGAAATACGACGTTTTTTCGGTTATAAACACTGTATTTTTATGGGAGCGGCGTGGGATAAGGAGTGAGTCTGTAAATATTCAGTGTATCTAAATATTTGATTGGATAAGAAGAACGAAACATATGGGGGTCTTTAAAATAATAATATTTACGTGTCTGGTAAAGTTGTGTCTATTTTTTGTGTGCAAGTCAGTTATAGTTTTGTGCTATATTTTTTATTTCCAGTTTTAAAACCTTATTGACCTTCCAAATGCTATTTTGTTGGGTGGTTCTTGTGTTGTATTTTCTAATTGGTTCCAGGTGGGACCCTTCACTGTGGCCGCAAGGGTCTATTGTGGTTCAGTTTTACAAACTTTAGAATTCCCCCTTAAGGCCCAATTTTAATATTGATTTTTTATACCGGGTGCGTCTCGAAAGTGGTCCACCCCTATAACTTTTTATTTTTTTGGTATGTTAGTATATGACATAAATCAGGATTGATTGACATATTCAATTATTTTCGGTCACTTCTGGTTTTACCGGAAATGACTACAATTTTTGATTTTTAAATGGCACCATCGCTATTTTTTTTTATTTATTCGATAGAAAATGACACTCTGTCATGGTTTATTTGAAATTACAACATGCGATTCATAACGACAATTTGACTTGAAATACCAAATGTGTGGTATCAAATTATTCGTAAAAAATGCTTTTTTCAAATATGCTAACGAGCCACTCTTGTTCCGTTTGAAAAAATTGAGTATGATTCAAAATACGATATGGGCATCTTTTAACCGGCCAGGACAAGACACTAAAAACATTAGACGATCAAATCTATTTTTCCGAGGCTCCTTGATTAAAAATTAGTGTTTTTAACACAGCCATGGCACTCTAGATTGAAATTTAAAATACAATTTGTTTTTTAGTAAATATGTCAAAAGTTGACATATGATAGGTCATTCGCTTCAGAAAGTCATTTTCTATCGAATAAAGTAAAAAAATACGGAGGGTGCCATTTAAAAATCAAAAGTTGTAGTCATTTCCGGTGAAACAGGAAGTGACCGAAAACAATTGAAAACGTCAATCAATCCCAATTTATGTCCTATACTAACATTCCAAATCTCGTTTTTTTATCTGAAAAAATAAAAAAGTTAAAAAGCTTCAAACTTTCTGTATGATTATTTTTAATTTGTTTTTAATTTTTACGTATGTTATGTTCTTTAAAATCAAAGAAGGCGATTGCCATACATTACTAATATCTACAGATGCATGAACAATACATTTATTTTTATCAGATTGTATTAAAAAATTTGTTTTATTTTTTTAGAGGCTTATCTTTAGGGAATATCTTGCTTTAATAAATCCAAATATTTCTGTTTTCTGCTTTTTACATTTCACTTATTCTCCATTTTTATTACGGCAATTAGTTTTATCTTAAGAGTCTTTGTCCTTGCTACGTATTTATACTTTCAAATTTAAAATTAGCTTGGCCATTAAGACGTAGAACGGCTTACTTAAGACTTTTTTTTCTTTTTTCCTTCTATGTTCATAACAGGTCGCCGCTTAAACTGATCTAGATTCGATAAAACGCCTACAAATAGTAGGAAAAAAATCATAAGAATACTAATTAATACTTGTATTTAAGGGCTATACTATTTTTTTATAGCCTGCTGTTATTTTTATGGATATACTATCCAGATAATAGTGAAAACTTATGATTCATTTTAATTTATGTTTAGAGTAAAATGCATTGTGTATTTTTCTTTTAAATAAATTACAGTATTTAAAGGGTTTAAAAATTATAAGAATAGTACTTTGTAGCGTTTTTTTAAACCACTACCACTGCGAACGGCAGCTTTTCATCGGAGAGCAGTCGTGGATAAGGTATTTCACTAGAGAGAAAATTAATCAGTAATAATTAACAAAAGATATATAGATATTGGGCGCCAGGCATGTACAGAGAAAGAAAACACAGTTGTATAATACTTAAAACTAACGACTATATTTATTCATGAGGTTCTTTGCTGATACATGACATTGTAGAGTTATAGTAAATATATAGTGGTTATATGACAAAGAAAGTGGTGGTAAGAGTCGTACTAAATATCAATGAAAACAACTACGATAAAATACAGGACATGTAAAGTTTAAGAGAAAATATGAAATGTAGCATTACTTTAATTAATTTGATATATTCCATATGATGCTAAATCGAAGATGTTACAACCTGTAGATTCTAGAATCTATGTTTGATTATCCATCTATTAAAATAGTGCAATAATATCTATGAAAGTAATACCATTACAAGACGTAATGCAATGAAACCTAAGATCTAAATTATATTTTAAAGATTATATCGACAGGAATGTTCTTAACAATCTAACCACTG